TTGTGGGGAAGATTCAAGTTCATTTATTGTGTTAAACGCAGTAGTGGGAGGAGAAACGTTGATAGTAAACGTTGTGTTGTGGGAAGATTCAAGTTCATTTATTGTGTTAAACGCAGTAGTGGGAGGAGAAACGTTGATAGTAAACGTTGTGTTGTGGGGAAGATTCAAGTTCATTTATTGTGTTAAACGCAGTAGTGGGAGGAGAAACATTGATAGTAAACGTTGTGTTGTGGGGAAGATTCAAGTTCATTTATTGTGTTAAACGCAGTGGTGGGAGGAGAAACATTGATAGTAAACGTTGTGTTGTGGGAAGATTCAAGTTTCTTGTTCAGAGCCAAGCTGTTGTTACCCAGATATGTTGTAAGGATGAGCTAGTTATGACTGTGTTATGTTTCACTGTAAATTTATTTCTATATTCTAACCGTTTTTCAGCTCACTTTACTTGTTTGCCCTGTTAAAAACTACAGTTACTATGATGTCGGCAACGTTCTCTTCAGCCAGGCTGTCGAAAGAAAGTGCCTGCCCTTGTTTCTCTTCCATATGCTATTTGCTTAACAAAATAATCTGTTTGTTGTCATAGTTGTTATCCTACGTTTAGTGAATTCCACATCGATTTCACGAAATTGCGAGGCATTCTGTGAAAATGAACATCAATAATGTGGTTCAAATGATGTGAGCATTATTTATATATATTGTTATTATATATGATTGTTATATGGGCACTCTACGTGTCTGATTATATTAGAACCTCAAATTTTTAATTAATAAATCATACATTCATTTATTCCGTTTGATTTTTGTGAAATCTGAAGTCTGTGAAAGTAAACTGTACGACGACGTTTCCTGCGAGTCTGACATACACTACTTTGTTCTGAAATATTTTAAGTACTTCTGCTGTTTGCTATGCAATCAATTATCTATCACACTGTAGAAGAAATCAACTAGCGCTCAAAACTCTATACTGCAATAACTCCTCAGATTCAGATTCGGATATAACTGAACACATTACGAATAAAGGACACTGCAGAAGAAATCAACTAGCGCGCAAAACTCTATACTGCAATAACTCCTCAGATTCGGATATAACTGAACACATTACGAATAAAGGGTTGCGGGCGTCCACAATTATTTGATTCGGATATAACTGAACACATTACGAATAAAGGACACTGCAGAAGAAATCAACTAGCGTGCAAAACTCTATAATGCAATAACTCCTCAGATTCGGATATAACTGAACACATTACGAATAAAGGGAACTGCAGAAGAAATCAACTAGCGTGCAAAACTCTATAATGTCCTGATCACATTTTTTTTTACTCGTGACAGGCCATCATTTGTCAAAATTCACATGACAATAAGTTATCAAGATAAACATAACACATGTGTGCTGCTCAAAGTTACAACTTATCATATGCAGTTCCCTTTCCGGGCTACCCTTTAGAATATGTTTACAGTAGTAACCGCGTTCTGGTAACATTTGTCATTTTTGTTTCAGCGAACAGTTTGTTTACTAAATTAGTAGACTGAACCGGTTTCGTTTAGTAAATTAATCGAATGAACTGGTTTCGTTCACTAAATTTATAGATTGAACCGATTTCCTTCAACAAATCAATAGAATGAACTGGTTTTGTTTACTAAGTTAATAAATTGAACAGGTTTCGTGAACTAAATTAATAGATTTGACTGATTTCGTTCACTAAATTTATAGATTGAATGGCTTTGTAATAATTAGGAGTTTAACTAATTTATAGATTGAATGGCTTTGTAATAATTAGGAGTTTAACTAATTTAAAGATGCAACTTTGTATTCTAGTGTTAAAATACATTACTTCCATATGAATGAATAAGTCCTAACTTGGTTTTAGATTTCAAGAAATGTGACAGAATAAAAGAACTAAACTCTGAAAACCAGAATATATTTTTTGTAACATAGATCAAGACCAAATCAGTGTCGTAAGAACATTGTTACGTAGTTTCCAAGTACGTGGTGAAAGATCCAAATAATGGTAGTAACAGTGACAATCAGGTGATAAAAGACCAAAATAGTGTTGTAAGAACATTGTTACAGTGGTATCCAAGTGCGTGGTAGAACGCCCAAATAACGAGAAAAGGTAGCAGTAATAGTGACAACCAGGTGATAAAAGACCAAAATAGTGTTTTAAGAACATTGTTACAAAGAAATTAACAAAGTGGGCAAGTAATATGGGCCGAAAAAGAGAATTTCTGAGTGTAACAATTATTCACAAGTCTGATTCTATCACACTAGAGTCTGATATTTCATTTCACTACAGAATACAGTTTTAAAGTGTTTTATTGGTTCCATGAGTTTGTCTATATCATTCTTACGCGAATGAATCATTATAAACAATAAGAATGGAGATGTCTTTGTTTTTTACTTTTATAATTTGGAAATTTGTCGTACTCTGTCTGTGATATTCGTAAAGGATTAGAATAAGTTGTACATTAGTTTGTTGTAAAACTGTGATAATAATAGGCTTATATATTTCAAAATTATAGTTTTGTGATTTAGTGATTAAAATCTGTTGTTTAATTCCAAATCCCTGTGATGTATTATTTGAGTTATTTTCTGTTGTTTAATTCCAAATCCCTGTGATGTATTATTTGAGTTATTTTCTGTTGTTTAATTCCAAATCCCTGTGATGTATTATTTGAGTTTTTTTTTCTGTTGTTTAATTCCAAATCTCTGTGATGTATTATTTGAGTTATTTTCTGTTGTTTAATTCCAAATCTCTGTGATGTATTATTGGAGTTTTTTTCTGTTGTTTAATTCCAAATCCCTGTGATGTATTATTTGAGTTATTTTCTGTTGTTTAATTCCAAATCCCTGTGATGTATTATTTGAGTTATTTTCTGTTGTTTAATTCCGAATCCCTGTGATGTATTATTTGAGTTTTTTTTCTGTTGTTTAATTCCAAATTCCTGTGATGTATTATTTGAGTTTTTTTTCTGTTGTTTAATTCCAAATCCCTGTGATGTATTACTTGAGTTATTTTTTTCATGCGTTAATCAGTACATAGTGTTCATATTAGGACTGTTAATCACCCTACCTTAGCGACGTTCACTTGGAATACATTTTATAACATTAAATTTGACTTGTAGATTACAACTTTGTTTTATGACTTGTATAACGGCTTTGACGTGATCTTCCACTCAGATAGAGTTTCTTTAAGAGCTTGCTAATTGGAGTCAGCTCGTGTGTATGGGATATCAGTCTACCTTATCAGTTGTATTCCGCTCTAGTCTCATGCGAACTGGGAACAAGAATCCGTGTAAAACATCAATGTTTTAATTAAAAAACAACAACTTCAGACGTGGTGAATTCCAAATTAGTTACAGCGTAAATTCTGATGGTCATAAGTTGCAGAACAAGTTAAATATTTTGGGTTTTGTATAATTAGTGACTTTGATCCTTGTAGGTGTTACTGCTAATTGCTATAGTTAAAACTCTGCCAAGAAAATTTTCCGTTCACTCCATGAACTATTACATAGTTATAAGTTTTTATACATAAGTTGTAAACTCGAGTGTAGGGTTATGCAGTTTTAGAAGTTGAACACACATGTTGAAGTTTCTTTAATTTCATTAAAGAAATGTGGTAAAGATACCAATGCTGTCGTCATTGATTTTCTGGAATCCAGTATATTGCGAACGAAGTGTAACGGTGTTCTCGTGAAATTAGATTGATCTTTCTCTAAAATGAAGAGATTTTTCTACAAGTAGTGGAGATTGGAAATATCCCAGGCTCTCGTATTGATCGCATCTACAAACCGTAATCTTTACTGAAGTGGGCAGCAATCAAGATATGTGATATACTTTAATATTTTACCGTGAACTGCGAAATGTAAACTATTTGACACTCTAAAACCAATCAGGAAGAATCTAAACAGAAATTTAGATTTTCTTCGTTTCGTTGTGTTAGACTAGATCGTTCGAGATATTCTAAAATATAGGCATATATTAATATGGTTAATTAAATAAAGAGTAATATAATATATCTCGTGTTAAGTATATCATTTTTTTTCTCTTTCTCTTTATCGGTACCCGGGGGAACAGCGGTAAGTATATGAATTTACAACGCTAAAATCAGGGATTCGATTCTCCTCGGTGGACACAACAGATAGCCCGATGTGGCTTTGCTATAAGAGATAGTCACAATTTTTTTTAATCGATATTTCTGTCTGTCTGTCTCCATTCATCTATTATGTAGATTTTTTTTCCGCTAATTCCGTTTGTTTATACACGGTGTAAATGGTACTGCTACAAGTCTTTAAACAAAAACAGGAAAATTCAATATAATATACATACATTATAACTGAGGCTCCAAGGACAATGCCTCTTAGCATACATACTAACTATTGCTTTGAATTTTTTCCTATTTTCACCAAGATGATAGATAACAGTATGATTAAACCTGGTTAATCTTAGGTTGATGTATCTAATGATTTAAACGTAGATTTTCTCGAAGTTTCGTGTTAGGTTTCAAAGTCTGCCTCAAGTAACTGTATTTTTAGTTGTGATGTCATAGAAAGTTCTGTATGTGTGTGACTATCTCGAAGAGTTTATTCAAAAAAGTACTAAAGAAATATTATCTTACTTTCTCTGAAAGAAAAAGTCTTACTAATTTCGTTTCCAGGAATTGGCGGATAGTGTTTTTCATGACTACAAAATCATGACTACAAATCATGACTACAAAATCATGACTACAAATCATGACTACAAAATCATGACTACAAATCATGACTACAAAATCATGACTACAAAATTCATGACTACAAAATTCATGACTACAAATCATGACTACAAAAATCATGACTATAAATCATGACTACAAAACTTTGTACGATAGTACAGAGTTATTTTTCATTTTTAATTTAGTTCAATTATGAAAATTGACTGTTATTAGTTCGAAAGTAATTGTTCTATTCCATGCAGTGACACAATGAAATGCTGTGATCAACAATCAAAAGGCAACGGAAACTGTGACAATTTTGTACAGTTTATTTAACGTTACAAATGCATTTACTTAAAAACACTATTTTAAGATTTTTTTCAGAAACAAACATAGAACAGAAAATGTGTTTGACTTTCAGGTTATATACGAACTATTAAAAAAAATATTTAATACAACACATAAGACAAATTGGTATTGAATCATGACTACAGACTAATGTGACTTATTTACGGTATATTGTTTACAACATAAATATGTACATAAATTAGTAACACAATCAACCAATCGTGGCTGCAGCCTCTCACTCACATTTCTTACTTCACAAGTATAGTTCCAAAAGTAACACCAAATTCAACTTACACAGTGACACTAATTTTGGAAAGAGGTGATAAAGCTAGATTCTTAAGTTAGATTGTAGAATGTATTAGGAGAGTGTTTTATCAGAAAACGTTTGACTTTTGCTGCAGGATTAACAAGATACGAGAAAATGACATGTAAAAAAGAGAGAGTAGAAAAATAAGTGAGAAATTTGTTAACATAATTTGAGCAAAAGTTCTGATAAATAGGAGAATATGATTTTCTTCTTTGGAATCATTAATTTGTGTAGTATATAATTAAATAATTAATAACCAATTATAATCAGAATTTTGTAGATTACTTTGGATGTAAGCAAAATATTCGTGTAATGTTCAAAAGTTGGTTCAGCTATGAAAAATTTAAATAAATCATAAAACAGATTAAATATCAGTGCTCATCGTTTTCTCTAAGAGAACTTTATCTGAAGGATTTAACAACGAGTTTATTATACAGTGATTTTTTTTAATATTTTGTGCTAGATTTAACGTATTTCTAAGGATTTATAAAGACCTTGTGCTTATTGCATGATGAGTGAATTAATTTCATTGTCATTTCATCGCGTTTAAAAAATAGAGGGTCGCAATTATAATACGGAAAACTTATGAGTTTTATGAGACACTTACTAAGTGTCTTTTCTTCTGTGCAATACTGAATATTTTGAACACACCCAGCGTTATATAAATAAACAATTTAAAACATCTATCCAAAGAGGCCAAAATTTTTGATCGCAAAAGCACATTAATTAAACGAATAAATCACAAGAATATTAAAAAATAAGGATCTTCTACTCCCGTCATCAGGAGTCAAAATGATAAAAAAAACGAATCATTAGGCAACACTTTGTAAACGAACGATATCGTTCGAGAGTAAGTTAAAAAATAAAAGATTTCGGACCTGACTGCGACAAATTTACATCAGTACAGATATAACTGAAACAAGTTTGTGAGATTTAGGCAAATAACACGTTCAGTGCCGGTGATCTGACGAAAGACAGTAGACTGATGCACAGCGGGTTCGGTTCACTGAAAAAAATCACAATCTCTCAGTCACCGGAAACTGTTTTAGTACCCCGTAATCAGATCTAGAAGAGATAGATAAGGTATTTCTTAATCGTATCTCTGAGTAATCTCTTCACATACGACAGGTTATTATCGTTATGTAGGGAACGGCGTTGTTAGACAACCGTCGATACAACAGGCCTTTTCCGATCCGTTCTTCCACCCTGAAAAATAAAGATAGATAGTATTTCTGTTGTCCTTCATAGTGATAAGAGAGAGTGGAGCATGAAAATATTTCAAACATAAAACTATACGAATTTACGATATTAAGAACTAAAGAAACACACACACACATAAAAAAAGGTTTAATTATTTCTTACACACTTCGTCCATGATATTAGATACGGTAAAAATATTGATTGACATATCGTTACTGTTAGTTGTAATATAACCCAATCAATACTAATGTTGTATGTTGGAAATATAGTGTCTGTTTGTTTTTTGAATTTCGCGCCAAGCTACACGAGGGCTATCTGCGCTAGCCGTCCCTAATTTAGCAGTGTAAGACTAGTCATCACCACCCACCGCCAACTCTTGGGCTACTCATTATAACGCCCCCACGGCTTAAAGGGCGAGCATGTTTGGTGTGACT